ATATAAGGGAAGATATAAATAAAAAAAATTTAAGATAGCACATTTCAAGGTTTACGATTAAATATTGAATTTTTTCCAGTAATATTAAATTTTAAATAAAAATATATATATATATATATTATAATAAATGAATTAATAATTATAAATATTTTCCAATATTGACGACACGAATTGCTCAACAAAAGCTTCAAGTAGTTCAAACAAATAAGGGAATCCAGGGCAAAAATCTTTTCTGAGTTCTTACCTGTCGCGTCCGGAGAGCCCTGGCTGGTACCATTGCAAAGCTCGACGCCATCTTGCATCCAACCATCTCGTGCAGTCGTTTGACCCTCTCTTTCTAGAAGGGAAGAAGTACACCTGATGATTGGCTCTTCTCGGGATATCGCTGGTTCTCGTTTTGACAAGGAGAAAGAGGTGCAGTCAACCGAAGAACCTGAAGTGTCCGTTTCTCGAGGTTCCGAAATGCCAGTTGCCAGGTAGCCGGGCAGAGGAGGATGCACGAAACGAGAGAGCTTGGAATGGGTATCAGAAAGTTGACGTTTCGCCTCGTGACTCGCCCATGCCTCCAGTTTACTGGTCACGTCTGGAGAATAGACACCACTTCTGTCAGCGATGCAGGTCGACTTCCCTTCGGTAGGATCAAAGTTGACTGAAATGGGGCTGGACAATTGTACCTTGAGAGAATTAGGGTCGGTTATGGGGTCAAGCTTCATTGGTGCCTCCTCGCCGTGGGTTGTGCAGGGCCGAGTTGACGCTGAGAAATAGGCAGAGGCGTCATTTGGCATCACTTTTGAGCAGGACTCTTTCGTGGCAGCAGAGAAGAGAGTGTGACCCAACTCTTCCGATCCGGAGTTGGCCGGCAAGTAGACGTAAGGATAAGGGATCGGCTGGCGGTCGTCTGTAGATGTGACATAATCGTGTGGCGACTGGACATGATGAAGTGACAGTGACGCTTGAGGAAGTAGTGATAGCGATGTTGGTGGTGGTTGTGAAGAAGAAGAAGAAGAAGAAGATGATGATGATGATGATGATGATGGTGGTGGTAGTGGTTGTGGTTGTGTATGATGCATGGTATGAGAAGATGGAATGATTTGATTTGGATCATTGAAGTAGCGTTGATTGTGAACAATATTATGCAGTTGATGATAATGTTGCTGCTGCTGCTGCTGTTCCTGCTGGTGGTGTTGATGTTGATGTTGATGTTGCTGTTGCTGTTGCTGTTGATTGGCAACACTTGCCATGGCGGTTGCTACGGCGGCACAGGCGGCGGCAGCGGCAACAGCGGCGGTGGCAGTGTTGGCCGGAGTTTCTGGCTCACCTTTCGGCCATATGGGCGCTGTGTCAGCAGAAGAGGGCAGAAGACGAAGGGAAATCTGCTGCATGGGGCTTCTTTGGGAGTCTGGCTTCGCGGTGGCGTCTCGATGTTTGGCAATATGTTTGGCCAGATACGTGGCGGAATTGTAATTTTTGCCACAAATTGGGCAAACACGAATCTGCAGGGGCGAAAGTGAAAAACGGTTGTCAAGGCGAGAAAGTGGGTTTTGATTAGGGCTCTGAGATGGCATCATCACTTCGCGAATTGGGTAAAGAAGGGTGGCAATTTCCTCAGAGCTTGAGCTCATTCTTGCAAAAGCTTCAAATTAACACAAATTCGAGCGGACTGTTCGAATCTAGTCTACATGCTGTATATGCTTAAATAGAAACGACAATTTATAGACATAAAGAGATGTAGAATAATCTCGGTTTCTTAGTGATTGCGAGGAAAAGTTGGATTTAGAGATATCGCTTGTTTCATCAATATTGAGCTTACTTCACTTATGAGATAAAGTGTTTAGTGAAGCAAACCCAGACTTTTAGGAAATTTGGTTCCCTGTCAAATTCATAATATAGTGAACAAGATCTATCTTGTGTTTGATTGGAAGGAGGCTAAAACTAAAGTTTCTGAATTGTATAAACCGATTTTATTTGAAAAAACTTTGTAAAAATGACTATTTTAAATATATATTTAAAAAGGCATGAAAATATGCCATATATATACCCTGCGATGCATACAGTATTTGACATGACAACTTTCCGACGTCCATCCACAATCACATGCGATTTTATTACAACTGAAATAAAACTGTAGCATATTTCATTTAGTTAGAATAATTCTGTTGGCGTTTTTTATGTGTGTATGCCTGTAAGTCTGACAGTCATTGCTCGGGGCATTTACAGTCTTTGTCAGGCATAAAATATATATCATATCGTGTTGTTGTAGTGAGATTGCCTCAGGAACAAACATGCAATTGCCATTTTAGACAGCAACGCTACTTGTATGCGAATTAAGTAGTATTTAAAGTATTGAATAAGAGCTTTCGT